AAGATGTGTTACTTTTGTTTATGCTACATTTGTTCAACTCTGTGAAGCTGCGTTACTTTGCCTGTCTAAAACCCTTGATGATCTAATAAAGAGCTGAATGGCCAATAGCGAGACAGGAGAAAGGATACATGGAGTTGGCAGGTAGAGAGAATAAGTAGGAGGAGAAATCTGGAGAAAGGAAAGGAGGAGGGAACAAGAGAGAACAAGGAGAGGAGGACGCCAGGGGCCAGCCACACAGCCACACAGCCAGACATGGAGTAAGAGTGAAAGTAAGATATACAGAAGAAAAGGAAAGAGCCAAGAGAGAAAAGGTAGATGGGATAATTTAAGAAAAGCTGGCTAGAAACAAGCCAAGCTAAGGGCCAGCATTTATAAGAAAGAATAAGACTCTATGTGCATTTATTTGGGAGCTGAGTGGCAGACCCCACAAAAGCTAAGAGTAAAGAATAAAGAGTAAAAAACAACCAACAACAGTAAACTCTCTTTTTTATTGCATCATGTTGTTTCTATAAAGATTCTTTAACAAAAATGTACATAATATATAGTAATTTAGAGAGCCAACTTAAATAGTATGAAACACAGAAGAGGCCACTTAGCTATGGATCTCAATAAATGCTGCACATATCCACTGTTGCATGGTGACTCCTGTTCTGGTTGCCACTGCACTATCTGGCTAGGTGCACTTCTACCTCACCTTCACAGTGCAATAAAAACTCCTACTCACGTGGCTCCTCAGTGGCTTTGAACAATATAATTATCTTATTAATGTAATGCTAGGTAATGCATGAATGATTAACACCTCAAGTCTCCCTGGGGTTCTTACATTTTAAAATAGGAAATATTACTATTAGCATCTAATTTAGACCATCTGCTATTTTTCAGACACTAATGTACCAAGAACATTTTGGTAATCCTTCATCAAATGCTCTAAACATTCCAACACAAAGAGGCATCATTTCCTTTAATCCATGATTAGCAAAAGGAGGAGGCAGCTTTTCACCTCAAGTCAACTGACTCAAAGGTCCACATAGCCACTGCATCATAGATGTCTACCCTGAGGATGTTCACAAACTTCTCCAAAGAGTAGAATGTGGAGGGACAGGGCTGGCTCTCTGTAACTTCCTACCCTTCAGTTTTACTTCTCTCCCAACTCCAAGGAGAAGACAGCCACAAAACGGCAAACATAGACTTAATTTTCTTGCTCTCAAATAAAAGTGACTCCTTCTCCCTTGAAGATTAGAACTGAAATGGGGCTTAAGTTCAAAGAGACAGATGGTTTTTTGTCATCACCAATTCTAGCATTAAGGCTGACAGTGTGACAACATTTGCATGTGTTAGTTCACTAGGTCATCACAACAATCTTAGGTTGTATGTTCCATCGTCTCTATTTTATAGGTGAAGAATCTAAGTCATAAAGTGTTCAGGCAACTTGCTCAAGTTTACATGGCAAGTAGATGGTCTACTTCCACTATGAGGACACCAAGAATACAGTCAAGCCCTAATGATTCTACGAGTATGTCTTCAATATTTTCTATCTGTATTTGTGACTACATATCTCTTACTATGCCAACAAAACTGGCAGGCTTACACCTGCTTCTCTCCAAACCTTCCTTTTTAACATCCCCTGCCATTATGTGAATGTAAACTGTCTTCTATAGGCTCATGTGTTTGACCACTTGGACCCCAGCTGGGGATAGACCTGGAAGTGGGACCTCTCTGGAGCGTGGGTAGCAAAGGCATGCCTTAGGGTCTCTTAGCCGCTGGAACTTCCTGTCCTGTCCCTGATTCCTGACTGTAGGTAGACACAATGTGAACAGCTGCCTCACTTTTCTACTGCTGTGCTTAACTGTACTACCTCTAATTGTAAACAAAAGATGCCTTTCTTCCCTGATGCTGTATCTTGTCACATATTTCATCACATCAATAAGAAAAGTTAAAAACAAAATAATTAAAAATTTTAAGTAACTGTATTTCCTCAGCCACATACTTCAATCTGTCTATTACAATGGCTGGAAGATAATAACAGACATATAAATACCTGTGAATTTTGAGGCTGTATGCATCTGTCTAACTTACTTTTCTATTGATGTACTAATATACCAAGACCAAGGGATTTAATTGGGGGTTTACAATTACAGAGGGTGGGAGGATATGATCATCCTGGCCAGAAGCATGGCATTAGGCTGGCAGGCACGGTCCCAGTGCAGTACCTGAGAGCTAACATCCTTACCCACAAACAGGAAATACTGAGCTAACTGGGAATGCTATGGGTTTCTGAAACCTCAAAGCCTGTTCCCAGTGACACATCTCCTCCAATAAGGACACAGCTCTTAATCCTTCCCAAACAGTTCCACCAACTGAGGACTGAGTATTCAAACATACTAGCCTGTGGGGGCTATTTTCATTCAAACTATCACATCTATACAATTCTGTAACTGAAAAGAATTGAAACACTGAAAGTGCTAGGTTAAGAGAGACATCATATGGAACATGTGTGCACACAGTTTTATAATAATAACATTAAATTTTTATGATATTTTTTCTTTTTATCTTAAAAATTAAGTTTTAGTTTGATTTATTACTACTGAAGGCCATGTATAAAAATATTTTAAAGGGGCCGGGCGTTGGTGGCACACGCCTTTAATCCCAGCACTCGGGAGGCAGAGCCAGGCGGATCTCAGTGAGTTCAAGACCAGCCTGGTAACAAGAGCTAGTTCCAGGACAGCCTCCAAAGCCACAGAGAAACCCTGTCTCAAAAAAAACAAACAAATAAATAAATAAATAAATAAATAAATAAAAATTTAAAGGTTAGAATATCTATGAAAATATCAAGAATCTAAAGTGTTAACTTGAGGCTAAAATAATCATTTTAGCATTATTAGCTATGAAAATTGTATCTGTAATTACTTGATATATATTTTCTACAACATAGAAGATAGTATGTTGATCTTTCTAATAAAAAAATAGCATCATTGGATAGATTTTTTTAGATTGTCACCCATACCAAAAACTTAAATTGCTGATTTTGTTTATGAAATGGCTGACATACTTGGTATGAAACAAAAACAAGAAGCACTTAAAACTCAAATCATACGTACAAACTCAAACGTACAGTTTCTGCTGAAGATACATTGCTTTCATACAATAAAATAAAACTCTTAAGCAGAACCAGAATAAGACAAGGCCTATCTTTATGAGGCATGCTGTGTCTTAGTTGTAGGGAATTTAACCATTTTTATAAAACATGAAGTTCTGACTCAACTTAAACCTTATTAAATAATTTACCATGATGAGGATGCTGAGACAGCTCAGCAGGAAAAGGCTCTTGTGTCCAAGCCTGATGACCTGACCTGAGTTTGATCCCTGGGTCTTCCCAGGAATCCCAAGTTGTGTTCTAACTTCCACATACATACAAATAAATAAATGCAGTAACAAATTTTAAAGCACCAAAACAAGCAACAGGTAGTCTACAATATGAGATTGCATATTAGCTTTTTAACTTTTATGACTTATGGAAACATGATCTATTATACTTATATTTATAAGATGTAAAGCTCCTGCTAGATATGATATATACAAACTTAAAATAAATATAACACAAACTTACATTTTATATACTAAAATAACCATACACCATCAGTTTCAGTATTAACACCTGTCATGCTAAATGCTCTAAAAGGATGGTAACAGGTCATCAAAAGATCAATATGCAGTTGGTAAAGGTGATCAGTCTCAGACACAGAAAACTTTGGAAATTAGAAGTCTAGATCCTCATCTGGAAATCCCTTGAGTGATACAAGTGCCAAGATGTGACGGGGAAGATTCTGAGTCTCCTCTGCATCCTGCTCAGCTTAGCTGAAACACCAGACACACATGGCCATCCTGTCTATGCAGTTTATGTAATATAATGCTCTGGGGCCTCTTCCTACTTTTGGGGGAGTGTGCCCTTCTTCCCACCGATGTTAATTCTCTACTGAAAACCGTGTCCTGCTCGGCTCTCCACACACTCTTCTCCACTTAGCGCATTTATTCTTGCAGACTCGATTATCATTAAATTAATGGACTTTAAGACCCATATACACAACTCTAACCGGGGAGGATGGCAAGCAAACAACAAGTTTTCCTCCTGTCCATTGATGCTGTGTTCTAAAACCTCCAGTATCACCACAAATTAAAAACTCTGCAATCATGCCTTACTACTTCATATACGTTATATAAAAACAAAATGTGGCTGGATGTGGTAGCTCATGCCTTCTATCCCAGCATCAGGGGGACAGGGGTAAGAGGACCAGGAGAGCAACATCATCCTCAACTGCACATGGGGTTCACAGGTAGAGTGGGTGCATAAGGCAAGACCAATAAACAAAACAACACCCCCATTCGGCTACAGTATGATTCTATTCCCCAGTTTGTCTGCATTCTTTATTGTAAATATATGTAGTTTGTTTATATTTTATGTTCATTGGTGTTTTCCCTGCATGTTTATCTATGTGAGGTGTTAGAAGAACTAGAAGTAGAGTTATGGACAGTTGTGAGCTGCCATGTGGGTGCTGGGAATTGAGCCTGGGTCAGTGCTCTAAACTGCTGAGCCATCTCTCTAGCCAGCTTGTCTTCATTCTTACAGGGGGCTCCATCCAGAAAAGCAGGTTAGAGGTGTGTGCTTTCTCTCAACACACCACTTGGATCTGTTCTATCAGAAGGACACATTACAGGAAGATAGTCATGGGAACCCTGCCAGATCAGACTGAGAAGGGATGGGATAGGAACTTTGGGTGGTTAACACAACAAGGTTAGTATAAGCTCAATGCTTAGTGTCCTCACACAAACTAAGACAGACTTTACAGCACACAGGACAAGAGGATGTGGCCTCCAGAGTGCCTAGTTAGGAGGAAATGGCAGGAAAGGTACACAGTGTAGTAAAACAATCCATCGCCCCAGAAAAGTTACAGATACGAATGCTACTTGATATTGCACACATAATGTATTTTAAAATATTTTACCTTACAGTAAAATCATAGGAACAAGAGGCCAGCACTGAAGCATGAAATGGTGAAAACTGCAGGAGAAAAAAAGTCAAATGTAGTCACAGGCTGCTCCTCCAAAAGTCACTCCACAAACACAATCAAGACTTACCTAGGAATGTCACTTAAAATTGTGCCTTCCTGGGCCTTACATACTTAATTTTTACCATCAAGTATCCATTTATAGCAAAAGTTTTATTTTTATATTCTCCAAAGAAAATCACTCAAGCTCCACAGAGATAATTTATAACATAAAAAAAAAAGCAAGGCAGTGGTGGCACACGCCTTTAATGCCAGCACTTGGGACACAGAGGCAGGTAGATCTCTGTGAGTTTGAGACCAGGCCTGGACTACAGAGCAAGTTCCAAAACAGCCAAGACTGCTACACAAAGAAACCCTGTCTTGAAAAACATAGGTAGGTAGGTAGGTAGGTAGGTAGGTAGATAGATAGATAGATAGATAGATAGATAGATAGATAGATATTCTTACTAGCTACCTAAACATGACTCTACAAGTATAAGGAATTGAAATGTGTGGTAGTATATAGATAGACAACAACTACAAAATTTGCCCATTATATAAATACATTTGATGTTCACACACTCTCAGCAAATAATCACTTAAATGTTAAATATAAATTTTTAAATAATTGAATGTCATTTATATATCATAGCTCATGAAAAATAACACCAAAGATTAAAAATGCAAATTTTAAGTCCTGTGTCCCAGTTTAAATGGGAAATGTCCCTGACAGGCTCATGTATTTGAAGAGCTGGTGTCTCGTTAGGACTGTTTTGTAATCTTTTGGACATGGGGAATCATTGTCTAATTTTGAGCTACAAGTAAAGATGTGGGGACTATGAGCCGATTCACTTGTCACCAATCCAGGTGATATGAACAAGCGGCTCTGCAGGCTCTCATAATCCCAGACCAAGCTAGTCCAAGCCATCGGCCTTGCCACCAAGAAACTGAATTACATCTGTTTTTTGCTAAGTAACTTCTGATGTAAAAAGTAACCAGTGTATCAAGTAGTGTCATCAACATAAATGATAAACAACCAATTGACTGTCATGACAATTGTATTTGATGAGTGTTTGTTTAATTAGCACAGTGTGTTTGCTTTTATTTACTGATATTTTGTGTGGAGTTTAGGGATTGGAGGGCCTCGTGCATTCTGAGAAAGTTCTCTGCTAGGAATACAATCACAGGCTTTATCTGATTTGAATAGCTACACATACTTATATAACTGCATTTGGTGGAAGAGGGTCTCATGCAGCCGAGGCCAGCCCCCAGCATGTTAAGGAGTCAAGGAATAAAAAGGGGAAAGGGGACATGGAGTTGGGAAGAGAATGTGCCAGATGTCTTGGTATATTTGGAGCAAGAGGAGAAATGACCAAAATACTTTGTATGCATATAAGAAATTCTCAAAGACTAGACAAAAACATTTAAACATGAATGAAAGTAAAACATTATCATGTACTATACAGTAGGTAAAATTATATTGATTAGTATAATTTAAAATATTAACTTAGTAATGATTTGAAATATTTAAAATAGGAATAATACATGGCTATAATATTGGAAAGATGTAAAGTACTTTGTAGCTCTTGGTATGAAAACTTGATAATCAGGAGACGCCACTTAGTCAGGAGTCTTTCACAGCAATATGGCAGAATCACCTGACCAGAAAGAAGTTAAGGAACTGATATGTTCTCTTACAAAGGAGGTAAACCTATTGGCAGCAGCATCAAAGTTAGCTCATCTTCTGTTCACAGACTTTTTTCTACAACCCATACATTTGTGAGCTTTTATATACATCATCATGCTAGAGAAAAAAATTAGCATCTCTCCATATTATCAAACACATACTCTCAATGAATAGGCAATTTTAAAACATATAAACCCTAAATATAAACCATTACAGTTAAAAATAATGTTAAAAGACATAACCAATTGACTGATAGCAAGATGAGAAAATGGTTTTTCATTTAACATCAACTAGTGTATCTTTACATCATCCCAGCTTACTCAAATGTATGACCTAATTTTAGCTTCTAATACCATCATTAGTTGGATAATAAAAACACACATAAGAAAGAATCAATAATACCAGCACTTGAAAGGCTGAGGCAGGAGGACTCTAATTTTGAGGTCACCTGACTTACACAGTTAGACCCTGTCTCAGAAAACCAAGAGCCTTAGACATAGCTCAGCATTAGAGCATTGCCTAGCCTGTGCCATGGGTGTAGCAGTAGTGCATTGCCTAGCCTGTGCCATGGGTGTAGCAGTAGGGCAATACTGTGCCATACCCAGGCTTGATCTCCAGCACTACAAAACTTCAATACCCAAATACTTTTATACAGGCTTCACTGATTATACCAATGCTTATGTTTTTATTCTATGTGTAAAAAAAATAAAGATGAAGACTTACTTTCACCCTCCTAATAGCATACGTGTGACCAAGAAGTTCAAATACAGGTTGTCGTACATTCCTTAAGTCCCAGCCTCTCAAACTACAATCAACTGCTCCTGTCACCACCAAGTTCTGGAAACAATTCAGAAACAAAACTATGAAGTCTTTGCAATTAAAAAGAACTAAGGTTTTCCCACTAGAAACAATAACACACTTTTGTAGTTAAATATATACCCAGGATCTATTTTTTAAAGTTGTATGAGAAGCATAGAAAGGAACCAAAATAGTTATCTCATAACAAAAACAAAAATAATCTAACTCCAGAGGAAAGAAACTAAATATGTTTAATGTACAAAACAAATACCACACACAGGAGAAAGAGGCAAAGTCTCAAACAGTATTATAGACTAACTTACCTTTTCAAGGAATTAAAAAATTGTGACAAATCAGCCCGTCTTTCTCTTTAAGAGGTTTAGAGAATGCTTTGAGGTCTTACCAGGCATTAAAAGGCAAGACTTGGGCTGGTAATGTGGCTCAGTGATAGAGTGCTTCTCTGGAAAGCATGAACTCATCCGTAAGTCCAGTCCTCAGTAAACAACACACACACACACACACACACACACACACACACACACACACACACACGCCCCCATCCACCCACCCCTGAGGAGGGAACAAGGTGACTAAGAGTTATTTGAAAAAGCAAATTGTTTAAGTTAAGTCTTATTTGTCCTCAGTAAACACACACACACACACACACACACACACACACACACACACACACACACACACACACGCCCCCATCCACCCACCCCTGAGGAGGGAACAAGGTGACTAAGAGTTATTTGAAAAAGCAAATTGTTTAAGTTAAGTCTTATTTGTTTTTCTAAGCCTAAATACTTCTATTGAATACATATATTTTCTTTCTTTTTAATCTAAAGAATTCTGCCAATGTGGCATTCTTTTAACTTTCACAAGCTAATTTAAAGCTAGGTAAGAGAGAACAAGGGAGGTGATTTTAGTTTTGAGACAAAAAGCCTCCTGAGGAATATAGATAGGTACATTAACACATTTAATCCATACCTATATTCCTACTTTTAATTCTTATGCTCAGATATTTTAACTGAAGCTTTACAAAAAGTTTCACATGGGCACCACCAACTTACAGAAGCATGAAAATTGTTTGGCTTAATAAGAAGGAAGATAAAACAAAATCCTAAAAACTGAGGGACTGTCAAATTGAAAATTGAGTAATAAACAGTTCGGCAGCCTGAGTAGACACATGGAAAAAAAAAAAAAAGAATCAAGGCAGACTATGGAGTAGGGGGGTTCAGAGCAATCCCACACATACAAATTACATAAGCTACAAAGCAATTTTCCAAAACAAACAAGAAAGGCCACACTGCTGAACTTTTAAGAATGTCTATTGCTTCTTTTGCCTGTTTTAGGAGCACTTAAGTCCAATTAATGCTAATGCAGGCCAGTCACTTATTCACCACAAATGACAGGGACTGAATTTAACTTAATGGTCCAGAAGCACCACCCAAGTCCACATCAATGAAACAGATAAAGGGGTATGGTAACATTCAGAAGAGCGCTCTGCCTGGAGCCACGCTGTACCTCATTGTATTTACACCAGTCACAGCTCAGGATCTCTGTCTGATGTGCTGGAATCACAATCCGGACTCCTGCGGTCTTCACATCCCAAATTCTCAGAGTCTGATCACCTGACAGAAAGGGAAGACTTGGTCAACCTCCACAGCCCACTTGGGTGCTCAGAGCAAGAGCAAGTAAAGTCAAGTCAAGTAAAATATACCACTGCCAGGATACTGCACCTAGACATATTTAAAACCATAACAATGTCTACGAACTACCGTTTAGAGCAACAAAGAGTAAATACTACCATGGGGTAGTATTTTTACATCAAAGAGGAAAATCTGACTCCCACAAAGAGATGCCAGAATGGAGAGGTTTTACCTTAGGAGTATCTGTTTGTGTCTATGTTGGTGCTAAAGAGAGCTCAGGGCCCCAAGCATCAGAAGCACACACTGTACCACTGAACCATGCCTCCAGCTCCTTCGGGTTTTTCTATATGCTATGTTTTAATGGGGCAGCTAGAGGCAAAAAAATTCTCCTTGGAAAAACAAGCTCAAAAATTATAAAGATTATATTTTGCATTATTATAATGAGATTGGCACTGTTTAAATGCATAGTCACTTTGGTAGATGAAAGTAAGTAATATTTTGGGATCTAAGAATGGCAGGGATGAAAGAATGAATTTGAATGTACCAAATGGGAATAGTTCTGGTACATGTGAGAGCTTCAAATATCTTCAATGGGCCTAAAAATAATCACTATCTCCAGTTTAGCCACCAGCCAGTGGAATTTGTTTCAGAATTCCAAACAGTCAGGATTAAACAATCTCTTGTGGTTTCTCCCAGCCCTCAGTGCCGACAGTAGTGACGTGGATGTCTAGTGTCTGGTCTGTAGCCACACCTTTCTTCCAAGGACTCCACATGACCTCCATACCAAGGGACTCTGAAATGGCCTAAGGCTCTAGAAGGATCCAGACCTTAGCTGGCAGCCAAAGGTTAGTGCCTAGTTGTTTTCCTTTAAAAAAATTAATAATTATATTTGAGAGAAAAAAATCAGCCCTCCTGCCCTCTCTTTGCTCTAACCACAAACATGTACTTTTATTTGATACGCTTTTCAAAACCACCTCTCTTGAAACAGAATTCACCAAGCACAGCATCTGGAAGCTGCTGGCAACCAAGCTTGTCACTACATGGAGAAAGCTGGGCTGTGGAGTCCTCACAAAGCAGGGACAAGTCCAGGTAAGAGACACGAGGTGGGCAGTCTGAGCGTCACCCCTGGGGTAGACCTAGTTCTATCACTTGCTGGCAAGGAGACACAGCACCATGGAGAGAGGAAATGGGATTCTCCCTAAATTTCTGCTTCAGAAAAGTCAAGACCCAGAGGAAAACATTTGATTCAGCAGGAGGCTTCTACTGAATCAGATGAAATGCTCAGTGATGCTCAGTAACCTCTCCAAACTTTCTAACACTAGGTTTGAAACCATAAAGTCGCTCTAGCATGAATAAAATACCCTCTGAAGCCCTAGGTAACTACCTTATCTGAGGGTGTGAACTGATTTAAGCATCAACACATTACAATGAGTGTACACCAGGAAGTGAAGAAGTGACTGACTTTAGCACAGGGAAAGCACACAGTAGAGTGTACACTAAGCAGTATCTGTCATTAGAAGGCAAATATGGTCATCCTGGGGGCCGCAGGGGGTTGGGTGGTGCCTTGCAGAAAGTAAGGGTCCTTTAGAACAATTCTGTCTCTTGACACCAGTGCTGCTTGCAAAGATGGGTTATGAAAACTCAAATTGCAGATGCAAGTTACATAGCACCCTATATGTGCATAAAAGACTGAACAGCAAAGGCTGTGTAAATGGCTCCTCTATTTTTCTGACAAAGTATCTGGCTCTGCAGTTAAGGAGACTTCCCTGTAGATGATAGGGTCCTACTTTCTTGATAGTTGTATATAGTTGGCATTCTGTCCTCATCACTGTGTTTCTGGTAAGAAAGGAACCTTCTGACAAACAGTGCAATGATATGCCCAATTCTTCCAGCCACCAGGACATCCACTAGCTTTCATTTGTTTGGCTTTTTAAAATGGTATCTCCAGCCTGTTGGCCATTTGCTGTCATCCAGGCATCTATGAGGATGCTGTGGTGGCGCCAGAAGCCCACCTGAATTACAGGTGTCTTACAGCTGCAGGTCTACACTGACAGCAGACCCAGCAGAAGAGGAAGTGCTGCTGTACAAAGCAAAGCCCACATTGTAGGAAGCATAGGGAGGTTGGGAGAGGCTGCAAACAGACTGAAAGTGTGGCATGAGGTGAACTGAGCACCAAAGCAGCGCTTTGGGCCCCAAATAAATGAATTTAATTGAAACACCAGATGCCTGTCAGATGTAATATGACTTTTTCTTAAAGTAGAACGAGGCTTATCTAACAACCAGCTGGAACCCACACTCAGGCCTGGCTATGACTTATGCAATTATATGGAGTCTGCAATAACAATAATTTAGTTTTCATGGTTCAAAAGAAAGTTTACTTCATATGAATCCTCTTTATAGAAATAGCACAAATATTCTTCCTCTTGGCCCCACAGTTTATAAACATGAATTCTGTTAATATAAGTATCAGGAAACACACGAAACAACGTCCTGAGAGAGCTGTGCTATGGAGACAAGGGTAGATCTGGTGCTCTCCTAATTCTTTCTTTTTGGTATTAATAGCTAATGACAACAAATTTCTATTTTTACAAATACTCCACAACTTTGAAGGTAATGAACCCCTTCCCACCCCTGCTGTGTGTGTGTCTGTGTGTATGTGTGTGTGCATGTTGTGTGGACTGTATGTGCTGTGTGTGCTGTGTGTGTATAGTGTGTGCACACTGTGTGGCATGTGTATGTGGGGGTCATGCATATTAGTTTGCAGGTGCACATCCCAGTACACACCCATGTGGAGGCCAGATCAGTGTATCAGGTGTCCTCCTCCCTCCCTCTGTGACTGAATTCCGTAAGACAATGTCTCTCACTGAACCAGAGCTTGCTATTTCTGCTAAGCTGACTGGACATAAACTCCCAGGATCCACTTGTCTCCTCTCCCCCAATGCTGGGGTCATGGCCACACTTAGCCACTCCTACTTTTTCACAAAGTGCTGGGGATTTGAACTCCCAGGTTCTCATGCTTGCATAATAATTGCTCTTACCCACTAAGCTATCTCTCAAACCCCAAGATAACTAAATTCTTGGAATACCCTAAATGCTATATTCTTATGTACTATCTTAGAACATGTTACTTTGGGCACCTGAATTATCTATTTGTGTGCCACAGAGTGAGGTGTAAAAATACATCATGATTGCTTTTCATGTAAGCCAGTGGTTCTCCACCTCCCTAACATTGCAACCCTTTAATACAGTTCCTTACGTTATGGTGACCCCCAGCCATAAAATTATTTCATTGCTACTTCATAACTATAATTTTGCTACTGTTATGAATTGTAATATAAATATCAGATGTGCAGGATATCTGTTATGTAACCTCCCAAAAAGGTCATGATCCACTGATGTAAGCATTTGCCCTCCCACTAAAAAATAGTATTTTAAGCTGGGCAGTGGTGGCTCAAAACTTTAATCCCAGCACTTGGGAGACAGAGGCAGGTGGATCTCTGTGAGTTCAAAGCCATCCTGGTCTACAGAATGAGTTCCAGGACATCTGGATAGCCAGACAGCCAGGGCTCCACAGAGAAACCTTATCTCAGAAGAAAAAAAAAAGAAAGAAAAAGAAAAGAAATCACTTGAGTTTCATTGTCATAAGCTTTGTGATTGAGATGATTTTTTATGATAGATTTTTCTTTGTTTTAGCAAGACTTTATCGTGAGCTAGATGACAAAGCAAACTGCTTAAGACCATAATACAGCTCACAAACTAAAAGGAAAATAGCTTAAGGATTCTCAGACCTAAGACCCTCTCTCTGAACTCAGCACTGAAGCTACTCTGTAGGTTTTTAAATGCAACTGGATATGTGTCTATGAACACCAGTGTGGCAACTCCCATTACACCAACAGAAATACACCATTAATTCAACAGTTCCAACAGAGCTGTTCCAAGACTAGGAAGCGCTTCCCAAATCAAGCTAATCACTTGATTCAGCCACTAAACACCCAAACTCACTCCTCCCCAGGGCATTTTGATCTAGCAGGACTAAGAAGGCTCAGAACTCTGCTGTGTTTAAGCTTCCCAGATGATTGTGGTGACAGCAGGTTTGAAATTACTAGGCTAGTGTGTTGTTATATAACTGCACACTCAAAATTCTAGAGCCAGCCACTTTAAACACTGTTCTCAGATGAGCACTGGCTGTTCAGTGGCAGCATGTATAACGACAAAGGCTGATCGGATGCTCTTCAGACAACTCTGTCACCATACATTCCATGCCTTGGTCAACTCACTCTCACTTGCTCATGAGGTGGGGACTCAGACACTATTTCCTCAGAGAAGCATCCCCCACCAGGCCTGCCAACCTCGGGAGTCATTCTATATCCAGAAGTTGAGTATTCACTGACAGCATCAAATGAGGTCTCATTCCCAGGGTGCTTCCCCTGCACCCAGTGTCAAAGTCTGATGCACATTAGCTTAGTCCAGATATATTTACTTTCACCACCATTGTTTCAGAAGTCCTAGAGAGATATAGGTTAAAGAACATGGTCAAAGACAGCCACATGGCAGTGAATAAGCAGAACTGGCTTGCCAAGCAGTCAGGCTCCACAGTCTGTGTTCCTAACTCCTTTCAAAGGAATGTCACACCATATATCATCCTGTGTGTCATTATCTCCTTCTCCTATTTTTTTCTAAGCTGATTTCTTACTGAAGTGGGCTCAAGGAGTGCAGGAGAGCTCCATTCTTTGCCACTGACTCTCCAGTTCCCAGCAGCAGTAGGAACTCAGTGGACTAGCTGACAATGTCTCAAAGATCAAAATGAACCCACAAATGTTTTTAAAATTCTAGTAAATAAGATCACATATCTTATGTAATAATAATCAATAATTTTACTGTTCAGCCATGAAAGGCATTAAGTTATAAAGGAACACATGGACACTGCAGGAAATATGTAAAAGCAATACAAGCAGTCACACGTGGTGGCACACCCAACACTA